ACTCTCGCCAACCGACTACTATCTTTTCCAACCTTCGCCAATCAGGACCAGGCAAAAAAGACCTTCGTCTACTTCATCGGACCCTGAGTACTCAATTTTAATGCTGATGGTTTTCATTGATTTTTGTTACGTTGGTAAAAGTGCACTGATTCAAATGACGCTTGTTTCGAATAATTTGAAAACTTTTGAAACAACCTAATAAGTACTTGGGCCGCTTGAAATGGAAAAAAACATATAAAAAAACATAAAGGATTCTTTTCCACTACTAGAATAAATTTCGAAACCATAATGCGATTCTCTTTAATAAATAGAGTTTATCTTCTACCAATTCTTTTACATAAAAGGGTTAATTTAATTTTTTTTTCAACCCCTGAATATCAGGTCCCTAGACGGATTTCTCAGATGCATCTTTTCATGGAGTTCAATAACACAGCATTGCTATTTTCATAATATTCTGTTAAAGAAGTGAAAATTAGGGTGTCACAATATTTTTCGTCGTGTATGTGTCGTTGCTTAAAAATTTTTAGTTCTATGTTCTTTAAAAGCGTTTTTTTTAGTTATTTAAACTATATTTATTTTTCATTTTTTAGTTTCGTTTGCTATTAAAGCGTGTTTTTTAGTTTTTTAAAACTGTATTTATTTTACCTAAACTTTAGGATCAATCAGCCGTGTATTGTTTAGAAAAATTATCATTGATATTTTCCGATTCCGGAGAGGGAGCCTGAAAATCAGCAACCAAGCCCAAGGCAGCAGGCGCGCAAAGGACGGTTACAAATAAGGCAGCAGGCGCGCGTGTTAAAAAAATCCTTTTTTCAAATGAAGAAATACATGTAAAGTGAGTTCGAATTATATCAAGGAGGTTACGTACAGCGCCATCTGCCCGCGAATAGATCAAGCGATAATGTCAATATATCAACTAAGTTACGTACAGCGCCATCTGCCTGCGAATAGATCAAACAGGTGAACCTAATGAAAGCGTGTTAAAATAAATGACCTTGAAATCCTGAATTTATACGCCACGGCAAAATGAATGTATTTTTATGCTTTATAAAAATAATTTAGCAAAGGCCGTACCTTATAAAAATTGTATCTATTTTCCTGACTCATTTTTGTACGGTGTTTGTTTAGGACTGATCTCTTTCATCATTAATATCTGATTTCATAAAAGTCGTACAAGAGTTTTTAGCAAATTACCTCCCGCTTGGGTCATTGCTATCAAGATTTTCACGCGCACCACCTTTGATGACGATATAAAGCTAAAACTCATTTTTTTTTTCAGGAACATAATAATCACACTTTTTCAAGAAGTATCAAATGACCTCTCAAAGTATTGCCGTCTATACCAGCGTTTCCCAAACTTTTTTGCCTGGGGACCCACCTTCACTGTGGAATTTTTTTGGCGACCCACATATTAAATAATATTAAGTATAATTACTATTGCGAATAATATTTTTATTATAATTATGGTGAAAATTCACTACTGAGGAATACACCTCTAAAAGAAAATGGTAAAGATGATATTGAATTGAAGATAAAATACAGTACGAAAAAAGACAAATACAAAAATGAATAAATTAGACTTATGTAATTAATGTGACTTGTGGAGCTGGAGCTGGTGCTATATCTGGGTTAAACGCAGGTCACTTTTCACAGTAAGCCTATTTCTATATTTATTTTTTAAATACACCAAAGTGGAGAATGCCATTTCACACAAATATGTGGTTGAAAACCCTATCAGCTCTTTTAAAGCTTTGTTTGAAAGAACTGCCCAGAATGGATAAACAATTCAAAAGTATCAAGTGTTTTTAATCTGTTTCCGCGACCCACCCAAATTGCATAGTTTGGGAACCACTGGTCTATTCCTTATATTGTGGGCGAATCATGAAAATGTCAATTGTAAAAATACATTCTGTTACTTCTGATAAGCAGTACACATCTGCGAAATATTTCAGCGATCGTCACAAAGAAATTTTATTCCTATTACGAATAACCTGAATATGAAAATAAAAAAAAAATCTTCGCGAAACCACAAAAATCGGCCGCTTCTACCGTATATATTAATCGCGTCCACGCCCGCATTCGTAATGGAATTCCCGTAGTTTTTAGAAAACAGTCGTTTTCATTGAGTCACACGAAGACAAACACCACAGGTCACAGACATTTCGAAGAAAAAAATATTTTTATAACTATGTATTAGTCTAGTTAGAATTAAATTGTACAGCAAATAACCACAAGATTGACACACAATTCACTGCAACCTTACAGAGTGAGATTCCAAAATAGGTTGGGCAATATTCCCTTGTTGGTTCCTATACATCATAGAGTCCCTTACAAAATTTTCATCTTAGAAAACGTGTACTTTGAAAGTGTAAAAGGGCAGATGGTCAATAGGATTCCAAAACACATTAAAAATAGGCTGGCAAAGTGCAAGAAAAAATTATGACTTCAACTCAGAAAAAATATTTTCATTTAACACACACTGAGGAATTTTTCTTCCATAATCAATTTCGACTAATCTCCAAACAAAAATGAAAACTATAATTGAATAACTGCTTTAGGAAACGCCATGAAAAAAACCTTGTTTTTGTGTGTATTTCATATACATTACTTTTACGACTATGTTCTTAATAATGACTTGTATTTATTCAAATTGGTTATGTTTAAGATTTTTTAGCTGAGAGAATGTTTCATACCTGGAACCTGGATGACCTTGAAATTGACATGTTACAAAAATGAAAACTTGAAGAAATCACGTATCATGCTCATTATGTTTGTAAAAAATCTAGAAGGAAGTTATTTGCTTGTTTAGTACTATTTCATTATAATATATTAAACAAACACTATTTTATTTAGGATGTATTAGAAATGAGTATGTAATATAATTTCATTCAAATAATTCAGCAACTATAATGTAGAACATTTTGATGCTTCATTTTCGCTGAAATATTAGAAGTACTACTATTTCATTATTGCAAATAAACTTAATCGTAATTGATAAAGATTTTGTAAATCAATTTCATTACTTCAAACACATTTCTATAATCAACAGGGTGCATGGATATTCAATTGCCTTTCTGAGACTGTCTTGACATTTTTGCATACAAATGCATACGATTTCAGAAGATTTTCAAGTTGATCTCACATTGAAACTTTTGAAATTTTACGAAGGCGAGCCTCCATTTATACATCACTGACTTCATATTGCTAACATCTATTTCCATGAAATTAATATGACATTATAAAACCTAACCTTCGACTAAGATATGAAGTTTTCATTTCCAATAGTTTTCTAGTTATCTGCAAAAATGTAAATTTTCACTCCAACTTTCAACACCCTGTATCTCGGAAAGTAAGGAGTTTTGAACATAAATATGTTCATGGAACTTTGCTTCATCGACCATTGCAGTGAATCACCTCCTAAAATTAATGACAGTATTTGAGAAAACACTCTGTATGTATCTTTCATTTTTCTACTTATTCAACAGCTATATACAAAGGTTAAATTAATTTACATGTCTTCTACTCTTTGCCCACAATAATTACGAGAACTTAGGCTACCACAATGCAGGTGGCAGCACATATATCGAATTCTGCATGAATTTGAATGAACATGTTTTAGCAAATTACTTGATAAATAAATTGATCTCTTAGTCATGAACCCATTTGTCCTTCTGACAAAAATCAGCTATAAGGGTAAGGCAGCTAGGCTCCAACCTGATTGAACTAAAGATGGTCTAAGGCAGACAGTTTAGAATTATTCAGTTTGAGACTTCGAAAATAAATGAACTTCCGACATTATTAACAAAAAAAAAACATGCAATGCAAGAATGAAGTAATTGAAGAATGAATTTATAGAAGTGTTTCTGTGGCAGAATACTTTTCAAATTATTCAGTTTGAGATTTTTAAAACGAGTGGTTTTTTACAACACATATCTGCTAATCTAATTCTAGATAAAAGAAACAATAGTTAGAATTTTATTTGAGAATTTACCCATAAAAGCAGAAATATATCATAGTGCTGATATCATAATTCAACTAGAGATTAAAGTTGTTGAAGGTAATAAAATAAAACAGCCTCTTTCTGTGAACTTAGGAATTAAAATTGAAACTATTTATACCTGCAGTATAGCAACTATGTAAAATTATCAAATAAAGTTTAAATCAAAAGTCAATAAATTATATAGGTTTTAGAGACAAAGTATCTCAAATGAAGCATTTACCATTGTAGAATCCTTACATGGTCCCCAAAAATATTTGAACTACAAAAAAGTTTGCTATTTCAATTAAATTCTATTGATTGTATTTATACAGGTAGGTAATATGCTTTCGCCGAAAGACATTTATCTGCCAAATAATTATTTCAAAATGAAACACTCTGATTTCCATCTGTAAATGTTATTGGGTATTGATAAATGACAGTTTTTCATGAATTTTAAGGACCTTTGGTATATTCTTTCCATTTAAAACCTTGTCATTTCCATCTGTAAATGTTATTGGGTATTGATAAATGACAGTTTTTCATGAATTTTAAAAACCTTTGGTATATTCTTTCCATTTAAAACCTTGTCTTTTCTAACTCATTCATTTCTTTTCAACTTATTCCTCATACGCTTGTAATATAACAATTTTGCAAAATACAAACATTTTCTATATATTTAAGTCGAAGGGAACCATTTAGGTGGAATCTGTACAAGATATAAAAAAATGAAAAAAATCAAGGACTTTAAATTGAGATTAACACTCAAAATTGACCTCAAAAGCAATACCAGGTACCCAAAGATTGGAGACAATGTTTCGAAATAAAGACAAATGATTGACTATATTTTGTTGTAGGGGATTTAACTGAAAGCGTTCCTCCATAAAGCAATTGTGCATTCTGCAATTGAATTTGTCTATAGTTTCCAAACATTTCTACAATATTTGATTTAATTTGCATTTGATTTGCAAGATATCTGTCAGTTATTCACACTTTAGATCATGCAAGATATTTAAAATCTTACCTTCAGTAACTCTCGGAAATAGGGACTACAAGCAGACAACACTACTCGATGTGCTTTCAGGCTTTTTCCATCACATGCTAAAGTTACATCTACGAAGTCCTCATCGTCACGGAGGTTTTCGAAGGCTGAGGTAATGCTGCTCTGATAATTGTTCCAACGCAGGCAAAAATGTTGTGTATCTACCATCGTAAAAAATATTCACCTGCAAAGAGAAGTCCCGAATAACATTCACAGATTCAAAAGACCTCTGGAAATGTAGGAATGGAGAGTCGTTTCAGATTTTTGATCATCACTGAGGTAAAAATTGCGAATTTGTGAAATATTAAATTTCGCGTTTTTTTACTGGAAAGTATCAAAGTTAGTCCAAATATTGGATTTCGCGAAAGAAAACCCAAGTTTCATAGTGTACTTTCTCAGTTGATGTATTTTAATAACTTTTGTTTAAAAAATACCCCAAGACGAAAAACTGTTTGAGGTTATGTCCAGTATTTTCGCAAATTTAGCAATAACTAATCGGACTTCTTTGAAACTCAATACGAATATGCAAAACAAACTCACTTGAACCATGGTAGTCAACATTCAAACTATAAAAGTTACAATTTCTGTTTATACAAGATAAGTTTATTTACGCCAAATTCAATCATCATCAATAGAAAACACACTAATAAAAAAAACGCAAGGAATAGATGATAGATGGATGCACGCGAGTTCCTTTACCAGCGGTTCGCGTCGCGTCTAGGATAGATCATTACAGGACTAGTTTAGAAAAAATGTGATTGGATAGTGCGTGAATGGAGGGGAGAGCATGAACATGGCTATCAGTGGAAAAAAAAGGAACGACGGCCGAAAGCGAAAGGATTCGGCCGGCGCTCATCGTCATCGCAGACGCCGGTCAGGGACGAATTTGTTTTGTTTAAAATATCGCTGTCATCGCTAAATCAAATACCGAACTATTATTCTGCACCAGACAAATGGAAAAACCGAGAGGCAAGCTGTAAAAGTGAATGACAAAAGATCTTACAGAGTTTCTTAGAGGTTAGTTCAAGGTACCGTAAACATATTATCAGAAAACTGAGCACCCTTGTTGATTCGATTCAGAAAATTAATTTAGAAATTGTTCGAGAAATGAAGGCGCGAAAAAAATCAAATGTTTACCTGAGAATAATATTATTAGTCATTGAAATGTTTTGGTTTTTTTCGATGGGTCCATTTTTTATTCCATCAACATTTTTGCGAGAAGTCGCGCGGTGCACACAGATGTTTCGAAGGCACTCCAAAAACCCGCCAAATACAAACTCTCAAACAGTAGTCGTGTGTTGTGAGAGAGACACTTCGCGAACTATGCACCCACCGTCACGGCATTCAGGCGAATATTAAAAATTCAGGCGCGCAAAAAATGACGAAGGCCCGCTTATTCTTTATTGGGACATGGCTATGAGACATCTGCTGTAATAAGCTAGCACTAAAAAATAGTGCGTGCCGCCTACCCCTCCCGCATGGAATGAAAATGCGCAGAATAACGAGTCGGTACAGGCCCGCAATTAAAAATATCAAAATAAAAAAATCGAACACTAAATCTGTGCTGTGTACGACTACCGAATGCTCTTGCCATTTGCGGAACGCTATTTACTTTTTACGGTGTTCATCCCCGTTTCGGGGGTTGGAGTGCTCGTTGTATTGCTCGATCTTGAACTTTTTCGACAATTTTCTTGAGACATGTAGGGAAATGGAAAATGTCTTGATACAGTGAGAAAAGATGAGCATTGGCGGAGCGTTGAAGATTTTTTTCCTAGATTCACGTTCATTGACGCGTAGGTATCTAAACATTCGGTAGGTAATTGAATAGATATTTAGTGAAAAAGTATATAGTTTTGCAACAATAGTCTTCTTTTCTTGAATTGTCGTTATATTTCTAAGGAGGCGTGGAAGGGCCATACATTATTTTTTTTAAATAACCAAATGCCGGGTAGGTAGGTAGGTATAAACTCGGACTCGAATTCCGAAATTGAAGTCAGAGTTTAACGGAATTATCATTAGAATATTTCAAGTTCGAACTAGGAATTTAACAGAATTCCAAATTTAAAGTCGAGATTTAACGAAAAATCCCGAGGTTGATGTCTTAATTTAACCAAATTATTATTAGAAAATTTTCATTTCAGTTTAACAAAATTTCAAGTTTAAACTGGAAATTTAACAGAATTCCGAATTTGAAGTCGAAATTTAACAAAGAAATGCGAGATTGAAGTCAGAATTTATCGAAATTATTAGGTAGATATTGAAAAATTTCACTTCAATAAAAAGCGCGTCAAAAAAAGTATTGCATTTCTGGTGATTCAGAAAAGTGCTTGTTTTCGATTTCAATTGATATAAAAGTATTACAAGTACCTAATACCTACAAATAAAAAAAATTCTTTTCTCACATTCTTCAAACAACAACAAACATTTGTGTTAGTTTTTATAAAAAAGAGTATCATTGAAATTATAAAAGACGTATAATTGTTGAACCACTATTTAAAAAAAAAATTACTTTAAAAATCATGGCGCATCCGAATGTTCTGTCACATTTTTTTTCTGATTTCAGTAAGGCATTCAACTGTGTAGATACATAGTACAAAACAAATAATTTCGCTACATTGTTGCATCGAAAACAATATTTGTGATTAATTATAGGAATTTTCTGCAAATGAACATAGGCGTACCACAGGTACCAGTGTAGTGCCACAATTTCCCCAGTAGTGTGACTGGAAGACTTATTGGAGGAAAGTGACAATCAGCTTTCAACAACAAGCTGCTGCAGAAATTAGCAATTTCTTTATAAATCATGACACGAACTCCAATTACCATACAACTCAAATTCAAGACCCTGAATTGCCTTCTCTCACATTTTTGTCAATGAATCCATATTCCATAGAAAAGGTAAGTAACACATGGGTTAAGATAGAACACGCGTTTTTTTTTGTTCAAAATTTGCTTTATTCATCAACATAATCTCCATAAAGAGCCACACAATCATTTTAGCGCTGCTCTAACATTTCAACACTACTTTCACAAAACGATTCATCTTTTGCCTGAAAATAGGCCCCAGTTTCAGCAATTGCGAAATTTCTTACCGGTGAGCATTTTTTTTTGAGGTCCGCGAACAGACAGTAGTCGCCGGGAGCCAAATCTGGCGAATACGGTGGATGTGGGAGCAATTTTAAGTTCAATTCATTTAGTTTTGTCATTGTTTTGATTGGCTTGTGACAAGGTGAGTTGTCTCGATGAAACATACTTTTTTTCTTTGCCATATGCGGTCGTTTATTTGTAATTTCGGCCTTCGAACGCTCCAATAACGCTAGATAGTTTTCACTGTTGATGGTATTTCCCTTATCAGTATAGTAGATGAATATTACACATCCTAAAATACCGAGGCCATAACCTTTCCAGCCGATTGTTGTACTTTCGGGAGGTTCACCACTTGCTTTCCACTCAGATGACGATCGTTTTGATGCCGGAGTTGAATGATGGATCCATGTTCCATCCATTGTCACATGTCGATGCAAAAATTCCGGTTTGTATGTTAAAACATGGCTGAACACTGCTCAGAATCATCAAGATTCTTGTTTTTGGTCAACAGTGAGCAACAGAGCTCTCTCATAGTTAAACGATCATGCAATATAAAGCCAACACGTTCTATTGATATCTTTACAATGTCAGCTAACTCACACAACTTCACTCTTCGATCATTCAAAAGATTTTGTGGATTTGTTTATGTTTTCTGGTGTCACTGCCTCATTTGGACGTCCACTGCGTTCTGCATCATCGGTGGAAGGTCATCTTCGTTTCATTCAGGATTGGAGTCCAGCTCCCTTACCCTTTTGGCTAATTATTGATCTCGAGAAGGACCAATGGGTTCATGACTGAGGGGATGTTACTGCATCATCGGTATCAGCAAACCAACGTTTAACTGTTGCTTTTGATGGAGCGGAGTCCTTATAACACCTTTCAAGCCATTGTGTAGCTTGAAGGGTATTTTTTCCTCTCAAGAAGCACTGTAAAATTAAAACACGAAATTGTTTTTGATCCATTGTCTTGGAAATAACAAAAGTAGTGTCATATCATTAGTTCGGACTTGAAATCTTTTTAATTTTCATCTCTTGTTGATTATTCAATTTTCAATTGTTGCTTGAGTTTTCATTCACAAAAAAAATCAGAAGTATCACTAAGTTTTTTGTAGCAGAATTAATGTGGAATTGAAAATGAAGCCTTTGATCTCTTGAAACATAATTCAAAATGAGTCAAGATGCAATACAATTAACGACATTACTGATATGGATACTAGGTATGAAATTAACTATCATGTTCAATTTTCTGAGAAAAAACTAAGTTACAACTATCAATGGCAATTGACGCTTTTAATATATTGCCACAAGATAAAAAATAAGTATATAAGAATATAAACTTTAACGGCCGAAGTCACGATTGGAGAGTACAAATTCCGGGTCGAATGAAATTAAACGTTTCGCCTGATAATGCGGCAGTCATCTTCGGTGGTGTGTGTGTGTTGTATGCGAGGATGAGGGTAGTATATCGAAGTCTCAGCAACGTTAAGTCTTCTGTCGAGGTAGTAGACAAAACGTTTTTCTTTCGAATGTTGGAGAGGTAGAAATTCAAAAATTGATGCAGAACTCCATACAGGTATAAGAAGAATAACCTTCTAGCTCTCCACCACATGTTACTGGCCAAAAATATTTTTGTTCTCAAAGGAAAATGTACCCCTATCAACAACTAGAAAAATTCCTCAATATTTTGAATTTACTTATTGTGATCTTTTTATTCAGTTTATTCAATCGCTCAAGTATTTGTATCTGCTATTTCTATTTCACTGACGTCAATGGAGAAAGACCACAAAATATTATACCTAATCAGATAACTGAAATAATTGAGTTGAATATGGAAAGCTGATTATAATTATCAGTTGAATCGAAGAAAGCATACAGGAGTATTACTGGAAAATTTCTTTGAACTGTTTTGGAACCATGTAGATAAATTCGGAAAAAATATAATGAATCGGAAAGAAATTGATTTGTCCACCGAAACAAATTCCGCTGATTAGACAAAGTCGATAAGAGATCCAATCAGGGTTGTTATGTTGAATATAATGGATTTTTTAAATTTACGAGCCGAACGATAAGTACACTTGAACAATTTATTCGTATTTCTTATAGAGTGTGCAAAAAACACACCTCAAAAAGTATCATATTGTTACGAACAGGACAACCTACGAGTCAAGGTCTATTAAAATCTAGATTTTCTTGGCCTTCCTCGTAAATGCATCGTTGCCTACTAATACTTTCTTCTTGAACGCTACAGATGGAGGAAGACACATCCATGGAAGGATCAGGTATTTTCGGGACGAGGTAAATGTCGAAACTTCTACATTATACACGTGTCCACATCTCATAGAGATGTGGCCAGTTCGAAAGTCAGTAGATGATTATCTGAGTAAGTTACTGAAGGTAGGTACGCCAGTAAGTAGATACAAATATTTGACAAGCGAACGTTCCAGATAAAGGCGCGTTCACATGGTGTGACAAAACTTAGCGTGTAACATGTAAACAAGAAATCGTTACGACTTGTCGGAGTTGAAGTCAGGTTGAAGGTTGGTGCAAATTCTCAACAATTTCTGGAAACCGTAGCGAAAAGTCGTGGCGTGTAAACAGTTTCTTCGACATATTGCTGTGATCTATA